CACGCACACACACACACACACACACACACACACACACACACACACAGTGAAAACAGTACCTAATTTTGGTTTAAAAGACTGAAAACAGTACCTGTATTTTCAGCAATCTAACTTTGGCTTATTTTTAGTGTTTTAACAGAGATTCTCACCTTGAATTAATAGAACTGGTGGGTATAATACCTGAGACTTGAGGTTAACATATATAAAGTGTCCTTTAATAACCTCAGTGAAAAGGTTGGTTGGTTGTTGTGTATTTGGCCTGGCACTACACTCACCACTGTAACAGGTAAAATGTGTCCCTGAAATTTACAATTACTGAAGGTTACAGATTTCTGTGCATGTATTTGTGCCAGACTTTACTGTCCCAGAGTTAAGGTCTCTGCCCCATATACAGCAATATATTCTTCCTCTGGAGAACTATTATCAAGTCTTAATGATTTAAGAGTTGGTAATCCAGAGTAAGCATGCATCCTCAATTCTTCTTCCTCCCAATAGGAGCAAGGTTTTATCATTACAGAGTATTCTTTCTTTCTTAATGCTTTTTAACAATCCTGCATGTAGGTGTGATATCCCCATTTTACAGCTGAGAAAACAGAATCTTAGAGGGGATTACCCAACTTGCCCAAGAAGATTAATCTCTGATTAGAAACCAGATGCAAGCCTGGTCTCCTGACAAAAAACCTTACAGATTTTTATCACCCCATGTCTCTTCTATTGCCTGCTTATCAGCATTTCTTTCATACACACAAAACCCTTGTTGGTGATTATAACAACAAGTTTGGAGAGAGAGAGGGGATTGAAATGATACTTTAAATGAGATTACCAATTTATTTGTTCGTTTTTGTTTTCCATACTATTCATTTATTCTTCTCTCAAGCTAATCCTTAAATCAGTGCCCTTCTCCACGACAATAAGGAGGCCAGAAATAAAAATATTCAGATGCCTAACATTTGCTGAATGGCTAAGCACAGTATTAGCAAGTAAATATAGTAGCATGGTGTTTAACTTTTACAGTTACAAATACATTGTGTCCAGTTTCTAATGATTATTTATTGAGTGCCTACCTGCTACCAGGCTTTGGAGATAAAGCAGTGAGCATGGTCAAGGTCCCTGCTCTCGGGGCTTAAATTCTAGTAGGGGGATATAGACCTTAAATAACTAAGAAAATATCAGATAATGAAAATATTTAAGGTAACTAATAAAAAGTCTGAAAAAGTGTGTGTTTGTTCATACTTACATGCTAATAATGAGATACTTATCAAAAGTGACATCAAGGTGACAAAAATGAAAAGTGATGCAGTAGTTGATCCTATGCTGAAGATTTATGGGGTTGGAGGTAGGAATGGTAATGTATAGTTGTGCGATTGTTTTAATTTAAAGTTATTTATTAATAATTGGAGAAATCTCAAAGTTCAAGGTTTGACCTTGTACAGAGTAGTATAAGCCACTTTAATGACTTGATTCATTTCTGAGAAAGAAACGATTTAATGGTGTTTTCAGTACTTACATAAATATTTACTTCCTTTCAAGGTATTCCATAATTCTAGCACTAAAATTTATATTTAGAGTCACATAGAAAGGGGTAAATTTGATAAAACGTGTGAATAGTTTGTGCAGGTATAAGGTTTTAAGGAAGAAGAAAAGGGCACAGTTTTCAAGCTGTAACCAGCCTGGAGGTAATAGTTCATCCCCTTGTTTTTACAGCTGAGGCAGCTGCCAAATTGTCTACAATGAAAATTAATGTAGTTTTTACCGTTGGTGGAAACTAGGTGAAGGGTACACAGGACCTCTCTGTACTACTTTGGCACTTCATGTGAATTCTGATTATTTCAAAATAAGTTTTGAAAAACAAAAATAATCGTTAAAAAATTGATGTTTTTCATCTTTTCTAGTTTGTGGAGGACTATGAGCCTACCAAAGCAGACAGCTATCGGAAGAAGGTAGTGCTGGATGGGGAGGAGGTCCAGATCGATATCTTAGATACTGCTGGGCAGGAGGACTATGCTGCAATTAGAGACAACTACTTCCGAAGTGGGGAGGGTTTCCTCTGTGTCTTCTCTATTACAGAAATGGAATCCTTTGCAGCAACAGCTGACTTCAGGTATGTCAGGGAGCAGTCTGTTGCTCTGTCATACTGCATGACAACTTTCTCCCCCCAAAACAAGTGGACAGCTAGAGGCTCTTCGTTGTTAGTCTTTCACTCAGTGTCTAATTATATTTATTTCCTCTTTGATATTAATATTTGACTCTACACACTGTGTACTTATACTCAGATACTCCATATGCCTTGCATGATCTTAGAGCTATCCCCATGTCGTTGTATTAGAACGCCCAAAGTCTCTTTATGCGTTGCTGAAGTATTTTGCTTTGCAGTAAAATATTACTACTGCCATAATAGTTAATGCTTAGATCACATCATGGAGCGGTGACCCAGATTTTAAATCTTCCTGTGTTAGTCACTGGTTTCTCAGCACCTGGGTGATGGTCAGCAGCCAGTTGTCATCCTCCTCACAATACAGATGCTCTAAGCATGGGCTGAATGTTTTTAATAGAAATAATATTACCATAAGTTGGCACACTTGGTTTTGTTGCTTAATTGAAATCTGGCATCCATTTGGTTTAGGGGGAGGTTTTGGTGAATGGGTGAGGGGTTCTCTCTATAGGTGAAATTTGACATGAATAAATTCTTGAGTATTCTCACAAATAATACATGCATACTCAGAGATATTCTTTAATTATATATTTTCATTTCTTTGTTAAGCATCTGCTTTGAGTTTTGGGGGACACAAAGGAAGCATGTCATTTAGCCTCTATTTTCAAGATGCACACACAGCTTGCTTGATTATATAAGGCATGAAACCAAGAGCAAGTTAGTGACAAAGTAGGAGACATGGACAGTGATAAGTATGGGGCATCCAGAAGGGCAGAGGAGCTGGGAACACTTCATGAAGTGATGAGCCTGAAAGATAATGATTTCCACAGGTGAGGAAAGAAGGCATTTTAGGTGGATGAGCGAAAAACAGAACCTGGGCTTGTACAAAGCATTCCATTTTATGTATGCTTGAAGGTCTCAAGAACTTAAACGGTTCTAAAAGAACACTCCACAAAAACATGTCATTGAGCAACTTATAAAATATAAATTTATTTGTAAAATTAAGTTTGTTGGTTTCTATAAGGAAGGAATTTCGTATATGATGAAGTGCAGGGGCATTTACAGACCGTGGTAGCATGTAATCCTGGGACAAATGTTGAAAGTTACATAAATGTCAGTATTTATTCATTTGTTCAACAAATATTTAAGTGTTTATTATGTAGCAGGTCCTGTTCTAGGTAATAGAATACATTTTGTCATCATAGTCATGAAAGCCAAAGTGGTATCTGAAAGGAATAGGTATTTTTATGCCAGAAGAGAGAATTTTGGGCTGTTGCTACTACAGAAAATAAATGGATGATTCATTTTAGTTTGAAAAAGTTCTATTGCACACCTCCAATGTGTTGCCCTTCCCATAAATAAAAATGACCCTAGTGACTCACCAACAATAGGAAAGGTATTTTTGAGAAGGTTTGAAGGGTTACAGTAAGGCACTCCACATGTGCCAACCTACAAAGTATAGCGTAGATGTCGACCCCTCTCATCTTCCTGAGCATCCCCATCACCAAGGCAGACTCCATTGCTTCCTCATCTGTGTATGGGATGTACTTGTATCACACTTAACACGCTTTTATACTGAGCTTGACGTATATGTGTTTTTCTTGATAAGGTAAAAACAGTTGAGAGCAGGACCTACTTCTTTCCATCCCAGGTATCCTTAGTACCTATATTTGGCACAGTTGCTAGCATATAACATTTGGCACATACTTAGTAGTAAACTAATTTATTTTATTTGAAAATTCCCTTACCCTTATGGTTCTCACTTTCCTTATGTGAAAAGTGAAAAAGTTAGACCAGATTAGATCATAAAGGTAATTTCCTATCCTAAAATTCTATAATAGCCTCTAAAATTATATTTAAAGACAGCATCACAGTAAGCAAAATGTATATGAAGATTATGGGCATAGTATTACCTTTCTCTGACATCCAGGAAAGTAGCTAATAAAACCAACTTAATAACACTAAAGAATAATGTCTTCTCACCCTGAACCCAGAAGGACCAGGTTTTCCACAGCCGTTTTTCTGATAGCGTTGATCACACTGTAACTTCCATATTGGTCTCCCTGCAGCACTTGAGTAGTTTAAACACATTGCCGTCAAGTCAGTTCTGACTCATAGCGACCCTATAGGGCAGAATAGAACTGCCCTATAAGGTTTCCAAGGCGCGCCTGGTGGATTTGAACTGCCGACCTTTTGGTTAGCAGCCATAGCTCTTAACCACGACGCCACCTGGGTTTCCCAGTGTAGCTTATAGATATTTATTAACAAGTAAATGAATGACTGTCTATACATATGACCAGAAACGTTAGAGTCATAAATACCTGAGTCAGGTTATCATTCATGGCGGCTAGTGAGACCATTAATATCAGTAAACTTTAATAATGACTTTTATAAACCATGTGGCCACCACATTTCATATTTTTAAAATGGAATATGGTAAGTTTCCTATCTAAAACAGCCTTTTTCCCTACTGTTTATTTTGTAATGTAGTAAGCATTTTTCAGTAGGACACTATATAAATCATATAATTAAAATATCCTATGATGTATCGTAGTATCACTTGTTATCATGTTAATATGAGTTCTAACCCTCCACTGAAACAACTGATTTAAAACATGTTTTCTAAAAGGTTAAATGGTCTTTATATGACCCACACTTTCCTATCACCTTTGTTTTACCTCACATTTCCCTGTGGGTTTGAGCTTGTCACTATATATAATAAAGAAGTTTCCCCTCTGCCAGTTTGTAACTTTGCCATGCAGAGGAAATGTTGTATGACATGGAGAGCTGCACTGTAATGCCCGGTGGACCTTGGTGTCTAGTCAGTATCAGAGGTGGGGTCTCGTGATGAAGAACTTTTGGGAACTAAATCTTCTTGAATAAGGTTTGTTCCCTAGATATCCCATTATGGGGAAGTCCCATGGTGTCCAGTGTAGAAGCTGAGTGCATGCCCTGGAGTAAGATTGCTCAGTTCAAATCCTAATTCTTCTACTTAATGTCTAAACAAGTTAAGTCATTGTCTTAGTCATCTAGTGCTGCTATAACAGAAATATCCCAAGTGGATGGCTTTAACAAAGAGAAGTTTATTTCCGTACACTGAAGTAGGCTAAAAGTCCAAATTCAGGGCGTCAGCTCCAGGGGAATGCTTTCTCTGTCTGTCGGCCTTCCCATCAATGTTCCGCTGGACTAAGAGCTTCTCTGCGCAGGGACCCTGGGTCCAAACGACATGCTCTGCTCCTGACACTGCTTTCTTGGTGGTATGAGATTCCCAATTCTCTGCTTGCCTCCCTTTCCTTTTATCTCTTGAGAGAGAAAAGGTGGTGCAGGCCACACCCCAGGGAAACTCCCTTTACATTGGATATGACCTGGGTAAAGGTGGTGTTACAATCCCATCCTAATCCTCTTTAACGTAAAATTACAATCACAAAATGGAGGCCAACCACACAATTCTGGGAATCATGGCCCAGCCAAACTGATACACACATTTTTGGGGGAACATAATTCAAACCATGACAGTCATGATGAAGATTTTTACTCAGTCTTTCAAATGTCACTGTAAGATCCCCTGCAAAATCAGGCATACTTTGCTAATCTGTCATTGTAATGTTATTGTGTTCCATCTAGTCAAATTGACTCATAGCGACCCCATGTAACAAAGTAGAACTGCCCCATAGGGTTTCTAAGGCTACGATCTTTACGGAGCAGAAGTCATTTCTCCTGAGGAGCTGCTTGTTGGTTTTAATCGCCAAACTTTCAATTAGTAACCAAGCACTTAATTATTGTGCCACCAGGGCTCCTTGTCATTGTAATAATCCCTTTAATTTTCTCATTTTCTCTTAGTCCCAAATACTTACATACCTGTAGTTTTAATATCTTTTAGTAATTTCAAAGGAGAAGTGTCTATAAGACAGCAAGATAATAAGCCTAGGTCTTAACAGATTTCTTTGGTTTGTTGATTTTACAAGAAAACATCTTCCTCTAGTGAATTATTAATAATCATAAGAGCAGCTAACATTTGCTGGGTATTTACTATGTGCCAGACACAGCTGTAAGCATTTTACATTTAATTCTCACAGCAACCCTATAAGGAAAGTATTATTGTTAGCCCCATTTTATAGATGAGAAAACTGAGGCAATGAAATACCTGACTCAGGGTCACATTAGGCAGGACAGAGCCCTGATATAAACCTTTAAAATTGGTGACATTTCCACAGCATAGAACGTATCTCTAAATGTAAAATCTATACTCAAGAGGTGGATTTCAGGTAATTCTGGCATATGTGGTGCTTTCAACATTTAGTGGGACCCTTAATGTGATGTGATGAGAATGGCAAAACCTCAGTTTAATCATGAGAAAAGTATCAGATGAATCCCAATTGAGGCACATTCTACAAATGACCTGACCAGCATGCCTCAGAGCTGTCAAGGTCATCAAAAACTAAGTCTGAGAAACTCACAGCCAAGCAGAGCCTGAAGAGACATGATGACTGAATGTAATGTAGTATCCTGGATGGAATCCTGGAACAGAAGAGAATATTATGTGTAAAAACTAAAGAAATCCAAATAAAGTATGGACTTATACATATCAATATTGGTTCATTAATTGTGATAAATATGCCATGCTTATATAAGACATTAGCAATAGGAAAGCTGGGTGTGGGGTACACAGGAACTCTCTATACTATCTTTGCACCTTTTCTGTAAATCCAAAATTGTTTTAAAATTACAAGTTTACTTTTCAAAAGAAGCATTTAAAGGGGAATTGCATTTGACTCTTGTCATTTTGCACCTCTATTGCTAGCTTATACATTCTTTGGTGTATTTTTTTCTTTGTTAGCAAGGTGATTGTGTAACTCAAATGATTGATGGTAGAATAAGGAAGAACTGATTATTTACTCTCATGTACTTAAATGAGCTTGTCATTGTATAGAAACATATAAATTGTAAATAAATGCTAATTGCAGATGCTATTTATTATTATGTAAAGGTAATGTTAATATTTTCTTCTCTTATCCAGGGAGCAGATTTTAAGAGTAAAAGAAGATGAGAATGTTCCATTCCTGCTGGTTGGCAACAAATCAGATTTAGAAGATAAAAGGCAGGTTTCGGTAGAAGAGGCAAAAAACAGAGCTGATCAATGGAATGTTAACTATGTGGAAACATCTGCTAAAACTCGAGCTAATGTTGACAAGGTAAAACATAACTCTCTGTACTACTACATCATGTTAAAAATAAGATGGTTTGCTTTAACTCGGCTCCATTTTGTTTAGAGATTTTATGAGACTTTCAAGGGAGAATTTTCTTTTTAATATGCGTTGATTTTTATTAGCCCTGAGTGCTCAAGTACAACATGTTAGGAATTTCTTGTTCAACTTGTCCATAGGTTTCCAGAGACATTCAAGCCTGACATGCTACAGCTAAATGTTTTTTTTTTTTTAACACTGGCAGTATTCCTGACCTGAATCCCAGCCTTTTTTTCTTATCTGGATGGGCTGGATAATTTCAGAGGAATTGTATAAGTCCCAAGATGCCAGCACTGAGTTTCCTGGCCTCTGACCTCACTCCTGCCTGGCCCCATTAAGTTCTCAAAAGTGAAGGTGCCTCCCAGGATGAAGGAACCCCAGATAAGAGGATTCTAAAATCTCTATTACTATTACTACACTCCCCACCCTCAACCTTTATTTCCCCTGAGAGGAAGGGGAAACACTGCCCTGCATTTCTGTGGTGTTTTCTCCACCCTCTCCCCTTATCTCCTCACTTTGTTCAGAGTGGGCCTTCCTGGGGGAGACTTGGTGTGGAACACCCTTACCTAGTTTCTGGAATCCCCCCAAGTGCATTTCATCCCACTGAAGACCATCTTCAGTATTGAGGAAGCCTGCCTATTGGGCTGAGGCAACTCAGGTTCTTAAAGCCCTCCTGGTGGAGCCTCTCTTCAGCCCCCAAGCATCTAGGCTGTACAGCAGTACCTCGCAAACTTCAGTGTGCAAAAGAATTGCCTATAAAGCTTGATAAACACAGATTCCTGGGTCTTACCCCTCCCCCTAGAGATTTCGGTTCATTTGATCTGGGGTGAGGCCTCAGAATCTGCATTTCCAGCAAGCTCCCAGATGATGTGGACTGTGGATGGGCAGACCGCACTTTGAGTAACACTGCTGTAGGTGGTCTCAAGCTTAGTGGACTGGTCAGCTTGTGCCTGTAGACTCATAACACTGATTCACAAATCATTAGGTTAGAAAAAATAGAGATTTCTTTCTGTTCATTTGCTGTAGGTCTTTTTTTTTTTTTAAAGTCACATGATCAGATTCCTATAGATCCAAGATACCTGTACAAAGATCAGTGCTATGAGATTTCTACTCAATATACTAGTTTTCTCTAAAATTAGGGCAAATATTTTTAAAGTACTGATAAAAATATGTTTTAAGGTTCAGTGTTTTGGGGGTTTTGGAAGGCAACATTGAACATTATCGTAGCCTATATATACTCTTACTAGTTACCGCTTGATATTTTGAGCTGGTTGAAGATTACACTCTAAAAGATACTTGAACTGAGGGGAATGGGAAAGTGCGGTGAACATGACCAGTTCAAAGCCTGTGGTGGTCATCTGCTGGCTGGGGAGGTGTGGTGGTATACATTATCAGCTCTTACAGCGCAGTAGGAGAAAGACCAGCAACCCAGTGGGAAAATGGTCAAAACACATAAATAGGCATGCTGCAGTAAAGGGATGCAAATGGCTTTAAAACTTGAAAAGAGTCTTGTCTTAGTTATCTAGTGCTGCTATAACAGAAATACCACAAGCGGATAGCTTTAACAAACAGAAATTTATTTTCTCACAGTTTAGGGGGCCAGAAGTCCAAATTCAGGATGCCAGCTCTAAGAAAAGGCTGTCTGTCTCTGTTGGCTCCAGGGGAAGGTCCTTGTCTGTTCAGCTTCTGTTTCCTGGTTCCTTGGAGATCTGCATGTATCTTGGCATCTGTCTCCCCCTCTCTTTGCTTACTCACTTGAAGCTCGTTTAATCTCTTTTCTATCTCAAAAGAGATTGACTCAAGACACACCCTACACTGATCCTGCCTCTTTAACATAACAAAGACAACCCATTCCCAAATAGGATTGTAACCACAGACATAGAGGCAAGGATTTACAACACATACTTTTTGGGGGGCACAATTCAGTTCGTAACAAGGCACAATCTCACTTATTAAAAGGGAAGTACAATTAAAAAATATAATAACACATTTTTCACCTGTCATATTGGAAAAAAAGAAAAAGGTTGACAAGAGACTGTTCATAAGCATGTAGAAAACAGCAACTCTCACATGTTTATGGAAGGACAGTTTGGCAATTACCAAAATTATGACCCAGCAATTCAAGTTCTAAGAATTTATTATACAGATAAAATCCTACATTCGTGCATAAATGTATGTCCAATAGTAGTCATAGAAGCAAAGGACAGGAAATAATCCAAATGTCCAATAACAGATTGGTTTAAATTAAAGTGTATTCGTAAAATGAAATACTATACAACCATTAAAAAGAAGTGAGGGTAGAACTCAATGTGCTGATCTGGAATGATCTTCATCATAATGTAAGTGAAAAAAACAATGCAGAACGATGTCTATAGTCTGCTGCCGTCTCTGTTTTAAACACATATACACATGTATACAACAGAAGGATATGTAAGAACCTGGTACCTGGGGTAGCCACCAGAGAACTAAGCCATGGGTATGTGCTTTTTTCACTATAAGTAAATAACTTTGTATTTGAATGTTTTACCATATACATGTGTTACTTTTTTAAAAGAGAAAAATTAAAGGGCTGATTTAATTACCATAACTGTATAACAGAATTCACCCCTAAACTTAGTGGGTAAAACAACCATTTATTATGCTCATGGATTTTACGGGCTGAGAATTTGGACAGGGCAAGGTGGGGATGGATGGCTTGTCTCTGTTCTGCAGTGTGTAGTGCCTCAGCTGGAAAGTGAAGTCTGGACACTGAACGTGTCTAAACTTAAATCCTAAGGTCTTGTTCACGCGTCTGGCAGCTAACGCGGGCTCTCTAGGGATTCCTCAGTTCCTCTCCATGAGGGCCTCTCCGTGTGGTCTTTCTGTGTGTGCTGGTTTGAGCTTCCTCACAGCATGGTAGAGAGTTTCGAGGGCAAGTGTCCCAGAAGAGTAAGAACCAGGCAGAAATGACCTAGCCTTGGAAATACACAGCTTTTATTTCTGCCTCATTCCATTGTCCAAGACAGTCACAAAGTCTCATCCAGGTTGAGGGGGAGGGAAAATAGACTCTACCTCTTGATGGGGAGTGGCAAGGTTCTGAAAAAGCGTATGGGATCAGAAATATTGCTGTGACCATTTCTGAAAACTACAATCTGCAGTCAAGGTCACCTCTTCTGAACAGAATCACTTTAAATGAGGCTGCTTATACACTGAGGGACAAGTTCATACTGAAAACTGTGATTTCATGTACTGCTCCATCCTGGAGAGTGGCTGTCAGAGAAATAGAGTACCTCAGTGGCTAAATAAAAGTAACTTGCAGCAACTACTCAATTTCCAGAATTGGGCTATAGTTGATTTTTTGCTGAGGAAGTAGTCAATCTAATAGTAAGAAGAGCTCATACTTATTAGTGCTTATAAGAGCCAGGTACTGTGGCAAGGAGTAAACATTTAATCCTTAATCACGTGAGGCACAGATACTCTTTTTACACTCACTTTTAGAGGAGGAAACTGAGGTGTGGAGAGATGAAGTAACTGGCTCAAGGTCCCAGGGCTGGTGGTGGCATTTGCTGGTCTGGGTCTGGCCAACTCTGGTGTCCACCTTCTTTCCTCACTATTTTGTTCAAAACTATGGTTGGAATAGCTTATGGTATCTCTGGTTTTGTATGTCATTCTCTACGAGAGGCCTGATCACGAATTTTCCAGGATAGCGAGTTAATATTGTCTGCTTTCATTAAATTGCAAAGTATTGTGCTTTGTCACAGAGAACAGATACTAGCTCCCCATAAGATCTTAAGGGCTTATACCTTATCCTTATCTGGATTCCCAGTGTGACCAGTGGATGCAAGTTTCAAAGAGGCACACTTTCAATCTACCCTGTGAAAAAGCCTCATGACCATCAGAACTGTTGAGCAGGGGCATGGCCTGTCTTGTCACAGAGTGATCACCCAGAGGCCAGGGGACCATCTGGGCAAACCCAGCTTAAGGTGCTCAGTGGTGCTGTGTTCATCCAGATGACCTCAATAGTACTCTTCTAGCTAAAAATGAAGAGGACTTGAAGCACTTAAACTGATGAAGATCAAACACCACAGCCTTCAGGATGGATTACACCTCAACATAAAGAAAACAAAAATTCTCACAACTGGACCAATAAGCAATATCATGATAAATGGAGAAAATATTGAAGTTGTAAAAGATTTCATATTACTTGGATCCACAATCAATGCCCATGCAAGCAGCCAGTCAGGAAATCAAAAGACACATTGCATTGGGCAAATCTGCTGCAAAAGACCTCTTTAAAATGTTAGAAAGCAAAGTTGTCACTTTGAGGACTGAGGTGTGCTTGACCCAAGCCATGGTGTTTTCAGTCGCCTCACATGTGTGTGAAAGCTGGACAGTGAATAAGGAAGATCAAAGAAGAATTGATGCCTTTGAATTACGGGTTGGTGAAGAATATTGAATATACCGTGGACTGCCAGAAGAACGTACAAATCTGTCTTGGAAAAAGTACAGCCAGAATGCTCCTTAGAAGCAAGGATGACGAGACTTCATCTTATATACTTTGGACATGTTATCAGGAAGGCCTGGTCCTTGGAGGACATCATGCTTGGTAAAGTAGAGGGTCAGCGAAAAAGAGGAAGACCCTTAATGAGATGCATTGACACAGTGGCTGCAACAATGGGTTCAAACATAGGATGGCGGAGAACCGGGAAGTGTTTCGTTCTGTTGTACATAGGGTTGCTGTGAGTCGGAATCAACTCGAAGGCACCTAACAACAAAGCAAAATACTCTGGTTCTCCCAGACACCCTTTTAGCTCAGTGGTGAAGTTACCTCCGAGGTTCACAGTTCAGCCTGGGAGTGGACAGCCCTGTAAAACCAAATGAGACTAACGAGGTACAGGAGTCCAGTGACAAGGGCCAGAAAGCAGAAGGGGACAAGGAAGCTGGTGATAGGGAACCCAAGGTTTCGTAAG